AAAAAAAAAAATTAAATTTGAAGAAAATAATAAAATGGACAATGAAATTTAAAAAAAAAATCAAAAGTTCAAGATAACTTAGCTGAATTGTTATCAGAAATAATTTTCAAGTAAAAACAAAATAAATCGAGAATAATTTCTTAAAATGACCGCTCGCCAGACAAAAAATTTTTTCTCCAAATATTGAAAAATATTGATTTTGATGTAAATATATTGAAAATTGAATGACCAATATAATAAAGATAAAATAATAATATCATAAATGGCAGAGCAACTTCGAAAATCGACCATTCGCGATAATTGCAATTATCACAACTCAGGAATTGTTAAAGAGAACCATAGGGTCTCCAGCGGCAACATTTCTGGGAAACGCTAAAAGGAAGAGAAATGAGAAATGGACACGAATTGCCAAGAAGAGCCGCTCAAATCTTAGAGAATTAATTACGAAGCAGAATATAAATATAAAAGTTTATTATCTATCACGAAAAATTAATTCTATGTGCCACATAAAAATCTTAATTCACGGTTGAGTAAAAGAAGAATTTATAAGAAAATGGATTATAAAAATCGAGGAGACCAATTTAACAATTTAACCAGAGATAATTTTTTAACGAACTTCCAGCCAAAAATAATTATAAAAATAAATATATAAATTTTTTTAATGAAACTCAGGATATATTTATGAAATTTACACTTTCTATTTATTATTTTAAAATATTTTTTTGAATAAATTTTAGTATAAATTTTAAGAATATACAAGTTTTATTTACTTCACTGGATTTACGGCAGCACTCGGCAATTAAGTAGGCTCAATTGTTTTGAGTGAAGATGCCGAGGCTGATTTCGCTGGAATCTTACCAACTTATCAGTTGATTTCGATCGTTTGCAAAATGAGCTTACTAAATGCTGGGTTTATTGTAGCTGGAATATTTCTTGTTTTTTACTTTATTTTAAATAAAGCAGTTTTTTTCTCAAGAATCTATGCTTGAAAAAAACCCTTTTCAAACCTTTTATCTTATAGTTTTCATCATTTTTGAGTCCTCTCTTTCCAACCCTTACTTGCCCTTTAGTAAAAATTTTCTGAATGAAGGATGCCGCACATCTAAGCAAGTCTGCAAAGAGTCCATAAGATAAAGAAAATTAAAATCTAATTCGTTCGAATTCTCATCTTCTCTTAAATTGTTAGAGTAAATAAAAAAGATTTTAAGATGATTGACTGGTTTATAACGGCGAAGAAAATTTTTCAGAAAATGTGGTAGGAAGTTTTATATAAAACAATTCTCTCTTATATATGACTAAGGCGATAGTCAGAATATAAGGATTTTTTTATCGATAAATGAAGTAGGGAAAGAAAGAAAAGAGGAAAAAAAGAAAAACAAAAAACTTTTGATTGACATTACATGCGCAAAACACTTTTTTTTATAGTTTCTTTGAAACATCTTAAATTAACAATAAATACTGCGAAAACCAAAGAAAGACCATTTTTCACCTATCCTCTTTTAAATCTTTTAAAAATGAAGTAAAAAAGATTTTAATAAAATTATCAAGCTAATAAATTTACCTTGAAATCGCGCATTATTTGCAATTTTTCTGCAATAAACAAATAATCAATAATTGTGCTGTATTCTATACGATATTCATTATTTCTTTTTAATAGTTTCGTTTTGGATAGATATAATGTCGTTATAACTTCTGCTGAATAAACTCGCTCGAGAAATACTTTATCATAATTTTCCTGTACGTAAATTATTTAAGGGCTGAACGAAGGAAACAACCGATAATATAAAAATGATCAATCTTAAAGATAAAAATTATAATAAGTTACTTGTCATTCAAACCTTTAATCCGTAATAATTTTCAAATATTTTGTAATCAAAAATAACCTTTAGTAAATAATCCAAGTTCTCAGCAGTAAAATCAACTGGATATTGATTAATAGCTATTCTGGCCAAATGTTTATTGAAAAACAAGCCACTAAAATGTATATATATATATATATATAAAATTGTAAATAAATAATATAAACAAATAGCATAAAAATATGCTGAAATTAAGAAGAAAATCTTAGCCACTTCAGTTATATGTTTGAGTAATATATCACTAAGGAAATAATGGCCTGAAAATACAGAAGTTAAAATTACTTGCTAGCACCATCTTGCCCTTCTTTTGTCATTCCCGTGCGCGAGATTTCTGGTCGGATACATGCGCGATCTTTGCGCCGCAACGGATCACGAATCCAATCGTCCCAAAAACCACTAGGCCATATTGGCCCCAGCTCTTTCCACAAATCACTGAATCATTTCTGTTTAATCATTCTCAATAATCAATTTATTAATTAATAGAAGAGAAAAAATATTCTTAAATGACATAGAGATTTTTCGAATCTTGAGAAATATGTCAGCACATAAGAGAATTTAACCTTGACATCATCCAACCCAGCCCTGGAAAAAAATCGCTCCTATATAAAACTTCAGCAGCTTCCTTATCTATCAAATTCAGTTTGCCATTATCATTCCAAGCAGATATGCAAAATAAGGATGGATCTCGATCAAGCAAATAACGAGTAGCACTAAAGTAATTGAAAAAATCTGGAGCAATATCAAGATCGTCTAAAAACAAATTTTCACCATTTCTTTAAGAATTTTTGCGAAAAAAACTGAAGTCTATAAAAATGCTATTAGTGAAGAATTTTAAGGAAAAAAAAGCTTAGATATAAGCATTAAAAATTTGACAATTATGAAGCTGTCAATTATGAAAATATAATTAATTTTCCCATAGAGCATCGGTGGCTTAATGGTAATATAATTGCCGAAGAAAATCGAGAATGGATTCGAATCAGGCCGATGTATTATGCTTCAACAGGTGCCAACGTTGAATGGGGAAAAAAATGGCTCAATTTGGAGCACCAATGGAGGAGTTCTACCAGCCAGAGCTAAACCTGTCCTTCAAATCCAGATGATGCTGGCGACTCACCATCCCATCGTTAAATATTGGCTATGGTAGTACTTCTATCGCTAAGTGATTCCATATGAAAATTTGTCTGGTCTAAGGTAGGGGAGCCTAATTAGCAATGAAGGGCGTCTTTAAAAAAAAAAAACATTAACCTTCAGTAATAATTACAGATGAATACTTAAGATGATCAAAGACATAGGTCAAGCCAAGTCGATAATGACGTGCTATTCTATAATAAGTTAAATATCGACGATGGCCAGCAGCCGTACTGATATTCACTTTTTCACCGCTAAGATGCTGAAAATCAATGTTTCAATGTTATACTGAAGAAATCAATTTTAAAAATATTCCACTAAACAAACTATTGGAAAAAAATTCTGAATGTTCTAAAGCTAAATTCTTGAAATTAATTAGACATCAAAAGAAGAAATAAACATTACTTTTATATAATTTACAGAATTGCCATAGCTTTTGACAACATTTGTAACTAATTTATCATCACAGTCTTGACTGACTATAATGGGAAATTTATCAGCTGAGCTTCTATACCTGAAAATTTCCGCTTTCTGGCTAAAACATTAACTAAACAATAAACTAAGACAACCTAATAATTCTTTTAAAAATTTCATTATTTCTAAATTTTACGAAAAGTTTACACAGAACTGAGACCAAATGAATCAGTATACCAATTATTTTTAGTAGAAAATAAATCAATAAATCAAGAAAGAATAAAAAAATAAAAAAACAGTAAATTTTTACTTGAGCAATTTATCCAAATGATGTTTTATAGCCAAAGCACGATTACAAACAAAAACGAGAACTGGAATAGGATAAGGCCATTCATTAAGCGAATGGTTTAACGTAGTTTTCCTTCTTTTAACAGAGAAATAATTTTCATAGAGATAAGATTCTAACTGAGATGAACGTTCTGAAGCCAATTTCCTGAAATTAATTAATTATAACAAATAATAACTAAGATTTAATATATGAATGAAGGGCGAACATTTATTTCTCAAATTCTATCCACAAATTTTCAATAATTTCTCCATCAACAGATAGTCTTTCTTCTTTCTTCTTTTTCATCCATATTAATAAACTAAAATCCAAGATTTCAAATTGCTTTCCCCCTTATTCAGAAATATTTGAGGATATTAAATATTACAAAAATTTAAGTCGCTAAAAATAACTGATCAAAATCTCTTAATAAACTTAATAAAAATTTTGAAAAATTTCAAAAGCTTACGAAATATTTAGAAGTTCTTCTGAATGAATACGAACAACATTTTCCAGATGCGTGACTTTCAATTCCAATTGTTGAATTTTGCTATCATGATCCTATAACAATCTTTTTCCGGAATAATTTCAATAATCACTATTCGTTAATATTGAAAAAAAAATTCAAAGAGTAAATGAACTAAATTAACAATCATTTGAGTAAATACCTAAGTACAATATATATTAATAGATTTAAATATATATATTAACGATAAATAGTAATAGTAATTTATGCTTAAATACTCTCAAATAAAATAGGATTAGTCACATAAATCCATATGAGCAATTCAACCCATAATTTTTATATCCTTCGTAAGATTTGCATACAGTTCTCCAAAAAAATTCGAAAAGCCAGAAAATATTTTTAAGCAACAAGACTTCGGGATATATTCATTCCGAAATATATACGTTTATACCAAAAAATCACAGGTAAGGTAAAAATATAAATGTAAAAATCGATCATATTCGAGTATAAGCATATATTACCAATTCATTGTAATTGCTGGCTATCTTGCATGATCATATAGGTGTGCTATATATCGCACTTCGTTGGCATTATTCATAGTTAACATAAATTTTATAAAAACAGCACAGTTCTTTCATCAATTTTCAATCGTTCACCTTTAGATAAGTTAATGAAGTCATTGTTATTGGAAAAATAGCGTATTTTAATTTTCGAAATGCGACTTCCCAATGGTTTTTTCTGTTTCATTTTATACAACATTACTATGGAAGGATTTTTCAGGCTAAAAAGGTAACATATATACAAATACCTATTTGAATATAATCGATTTTATACTTATATCTTTCCAAACCACTGCCCCTGAAATATTTTCCAGCTTTTCGGTCTATTTTTGTAATAATATATGAAAATATCTGCAAATATGCCAAAGATACGAGTAAATATTACAAAATTATGTGATAAACCCTGCAAGTTATCCAATCGAAATTTAGTGGTTATAAATGGTAAATATAAATTAAAAGTGGTTCAAGATTTATATATAATTTTTCTCGATGCACCGGCGCAAGATAACTTTTCCTGAAAATCGAAAATGGCTCAGGTTGAACCCAGCCGATGCGTCATATTTCAGCAACGTTTAAAGCAAAAAAATAGTACATAAATAAATATATAAAATAGTATAATAGAATGGCTAAATGGGTTGCTGCTCAACCTGAGGCGGCTATGCTGGAGCACTCCCAGCAGTAATAAGCCCGTTCCTGAAAAATCCGGGTAATGCTGGAAAAGACACTTGCACTTCTATCGGCAATTAATACTATGGCAAAATTTACCTGGACCGATAAGCCGATCGAGTGAGTCTAATCAGAAATGGTGTGTGCTTTTAGAGAAAAAAAAAGCACAAATGGCTATTCAGAAAGACAAATGAGATTTCGTGCTCAAATGCAATTCAATGCAATGATCCAATTTGCATATGAACACTATTCCCAAATATAGTCACGTACATAATAAATAAATTTGATTTAGATAGTTAGCCAAGATGGTACATGCGATAAGTGTAGAACCCCGACGTAAAGCGATCCCAAGTTTAATAAAAAAAATATGCTGGCAAGCCAGGGTAATTGCTCGAAATCTATCAAGGGGAATATCTCCCTGCACCGTATGGAACATCAGCATGGAACGCCAGAACGCTTATGGACATTGCAAGTCAAGCGATGTCCACACCCTTTCAAAATATAGTGTGGATGTCGCTTGCTTGTCCAAGGTCCGTCTTCCTCATTATGGCGCCAACGCAGTATTTTTTTTTAAAGAGTCCTTACCATTACTGATTAAACTCGCTCCGCTGGCTGGTCACATTGGACAAATATGCCAGGGAGTCCCTTGGCGATGAAAATACAGGTGATCGCCAGCATCATCCGGATTTTTTTACAGGTTCACTCCTGCAGGGAATCGAAACCTCAGCATCGGCCTCCGAAAGTCAACCACTTCCACGTTAAGGCATACCAGTAGAAAGTGTGCTAGTTGGGTATCAGAAGCAATTGTCCAAATGTCAGAAAAAAGTTGTCAAAGCACGAATGTTAGGTGATACTGACTACCGAAGACACTTCGAAAATTTGCAAAGAAAGCAACACAGCGGGAAATCACTATTACTGTTAATTAAATCACTTTTAAAATCACTATTGGAGTGAAATGGCCTCGAGAATGGAGATAGCGGCTCGATTAGAAGATAATAGGAAACTATCCCGCCTTCTTCATAAAACAACTATAATTTGGAGAACGATTAGTGTAATGGTGGACAGCAATGGCAATGGCGTGCCAGTCAAGAATATTAAGGACCGCCTCATAAGATGGAAAGAATTCCTTGAGATCAAACTTAACCATCTACTGACCATGATATGGCTGATATGCTTGCAAATGCGAGCCTCCAATGGAAGAAGAAATCTCCGTTATTCATAAGTTTAATGCTCTGGAAGAAGATGGTCCTTGGGCTGAACTCTTCAAATGTTGCCCATCTTATTTCATAACGAATATACTCTCTAGTATGGGAAAAATAGGACATTTACTTTAGGAAACTGCGACAATTATCGAAGAATCAGCCTACTAGACGTCTCAGCGAAAATTTTTGCTTCCCATTTACTCAACAGACTTATGGAAATACGAGAGAGCAAAATGCGCCCTAATCAAGCTGGATTCAGACCAGGGCGCAGTTGTGGTGACCAGATATTCACGTTAAGAAGGGTGTTGGAATATCATTTCATATTAGCAACCTACTGCCATGTGCTTCATCGACTCTGTGGGTGTCTTTGATTCAATTGATAGAGCGGCGCTTTGGAGGGTGATGGAATGCGAATGTGTTCCAGAGAAGATCATTCCACTCATAAAGGAATTTTATGAGCGTACAGGCAGGTCTGTGTATATGGAGAATTGATTCCTTCGAAATAAGAACTGGTTTCGTCAAGGTTGCATCCTTTCTCCTACAATATTCAACTATGCGATAGACTGGATAATGGACACTGCTTGTCGGCACTCAAGAGGTGTCCGAATTAGTCCAAAGTATCGTATCACAGATCTTGAATACGCTGATGATGTAGTCCTTTTTGCTGACAATAACGAAATGCGAGTAATACTAAATAACGTGTCAGAAACTGCAGCAAGAATAGGACTCAGGGTCAATGTATGCAAAACGAAAGTCTTTTCGTCTCATGTACAAGAAGCTGATAAAAATAAAATGCCTCTTTTTGTAAATTCATTGCTGGTCGAGGAAGTGTCTGATTTTTTAAATACCTTAGGTCCACTTTAATACCAAATGGCCAAGCAAAAGACAATATTACAACCCAGATCACGTCAACTAGAAATGGGTTCTTCCGGTTGACGAAACCTTTATGGAGTCGTAGTGAAATCACCATAAAAACAAAAGTTCGCATCTATATAGCCGTGATTCGTTCGAAGTTGCTATATGCTTCTGAGACATGGCCAATGAGAGTGGAGGATATTAAGAAGTTATATGCCTTTGACCACTCATGTCTAAGGTACATATTATGGATCCATCGAGCGGATAAAATATCACATGATCGCATTCATCTTCCTTCAAATACCACTTGCATAAATAATGTTATCACAGAACGTCGCGTTCGGTGGTTAGGGCACGTTCTCTGTTGTCCACCACAAGAGTTGTCGCATATTTCGTTGTTTGCTAACCAAGTGTGATGGATGGCATCAAAAGCGAGGTGGGCCAATCAAGACCTGGACTGATACGGTGAGAAAAGATTTTGAACGTATAGATGGACCAGCAATATATGGACTTAGACGATGGAAAAAGGAATGGCTTCTATTACTACTAACGATGGCATCCGACCAAACAGTTTAAAAACCCTTGTAGCCGTTGGAGCCAGCCTAACCAGTAATGGTGAGAGCTGTTAGAAGAAGATAACCATTATAAGTTTTATTATGGCTTATTATAAATTATGGAAAACTATTAAGTCTTACAATTTAGTGAAGCTAAATATTCTATTACCTTTTTTTTAACAATAATCTCGACAAATCTTCTAAAACTTAAAGGAATATTTTCTAAAATTAAGGAACAAAATGTGCAAAATTTAATTTTTACTTAAAAACACTTGGTTATAGAAATATTTTGAAAATAAATAAGAAAGATAACCTTTGAGCAAATAAGTCCGAGAAAAAAATAAATATAAACAAACGTGATTATAATTATAAAAAGTTTTATAGCATAATAACGCACCATTATTCCCATTTATCATTTTCTTCATTATATTATATTATCATTGATAATTTTTCATTATTTAAGCACTGAAATATTTCAGTCTCAGAGAAAGAAACAAACGCAAAAACCTAGGAAACATTTCAGCGTTAAAGAAGGAAAACAGTGCATATTAGACCTATGACAAATATGGAGGGGTTCGCAAATCCAGTTCGATTGAACAACCAAGAGAACAAATTAGCTGATTGGTAGAGAATGCTAAAATACGTACAAGCTGAGATATAGAAGTGAATTGAGAACACCAAAGCACCAAAGTTAGTCGAGCATGTGTGTTTGTTCTGTCAATCGTTCGTTTGTGGTCGGCGAGAAGCCGTTGCTGCGCCTTTAAAGAGTCTTTTGGACGGTAGGCATCTGATTTATCATTGTATCATTGCTTTATCATTATCAGTGGGTTGGTCGCCTTCAGACTTTTTCACTTAAATTTTGTTTTAATTTCATTTTCTTCATAAATATTATAGTTTTAATTTATTTATTTTACTCTTTATTTTACTCTCTTCTTTTCCTTTTTACGCAGTTTTTTTTACAATTATTTCTCTTGTTGTTCTGCACTTATTTTTTGCGTATTTTCTTTAAATTTTATTTTTATTGCGGTTTTTTCGTATTTTTGCGGTTTATTTGCGGTTTTTCTTTTCATTTGTATTAATTATATTCCCTTTTTTTTGATGAAACAGATTTATCGCTTGTTCGATGATTTTTGTTTTGAAAAATTGTGTTAATTTCAGTTGTCAATCGGTTTTTTCCCTAATTTTCGATTATTTGTACCATACCACACGGTTTCACTTTCACTTTCACTTTTCGGTTATCTGTCCAACACGGTCCTATTTTTTTTCGTGCCATAGAGTTTTGCTTTTCATTCATTCTATTCATTCTATAGGTTGTACCAGCAGCAGATCAACGCATTTATCTATACTCTCATATACTCTTTCCTCTTTCCTAACCAATAAAGGGTCGCTGTTGAAGCCAGAAATTTTTATCGATTAGATTATTTTATTTAATTTATATTTAATAAAATAATTTATTTAATTGCTTTGAAGTTTAGTGCTATCCATTATCCACTTAGATACATGCGATCGAATTTCTTGTGCAATTATTTACTAGCATTTTCCGTTCAATTTTTAAAATTTCATATTTCTGATTTTTCTATCTTTTTGTACATTTAAATAAGCGAATAATAAGTCATTGAAGTCCTAGCTTTATGTTTTTCGGCTTATTTTTCGTTTAGGTTCAATCTTTTAAGTGTATTTAATGCTTTTATTTAGCAGCTAAGTGCTTCGTTTTACAGAAGCGGGGAAATGTCCGCGAAAGCAGTGAGTGAATTGAGCGGTAAAGAATTATTATACCGACATTTATCGGATTTGCAGTATGTTAATAAGCCATTTGCAATAAGAATTCGAGAAAATGATTGTTTCGATTCGATCATTGAAAATTTCGAATGGGTTAAAAGTGCTCAAGTTAGTTTCGCACTTTTTTTAAAATTTTCTCTTCATCATAGATTTTTAATCTCGGCAAAAATTTGGATAAAGAAAAGGAAATTTGTCATGAATTCAAGAATTTTAGTATTTATTTGTAAAAAGTTTTTTGACTTAATTAATTAATTGATTTTTAATCAAATTCTCGAATTCATCTAATAGTTTCCCAGGTTTTAATTAATTGTTTTAATTATTCTCAGGTTTTTCCTGAAGATTTCTTATTTCTTATTTTTTTATTTTCACTTTCATAGAATAGAATTTTTTCTGACTTCAAGTTTTCAGATTAAATCTTTTAATTGATTAATGGAAGTAATTTATGATTTGCGTATTGTGTAAAATTTTTAGAAAGTAGTCATTAAACCAGATCAATTGATCAAAAGACGTGGCAAGCATGGTTTAATTAAATGTGGTAATTTGAAAGAAGTACGCGATTGGTTTAACGAAAAGAAAGGTCAAAATATTCAGGTTAATTTTTTCTCAAAATTGCTAAACTGTATCAATCATTTTGCAGTCAAGTTTTATTTCACAATCGTTTTGTTGTAATGTTATCAATGTTTGATAACAACTCAACATTTATCAATTGTGAAAAATAACTTTTGAAAAACAAGATTTAGTCGTATATTCTTGCGATGAATTTATTTTCATTTTTTAGATTGGCAAAACTATTGGTCGATTGCATAATTTTATCATTGAACCATTTTGTGAACATAACGATTTGCACGAAATGTATCTCGCAGTTTTTAGTCAAAGGCAAGAGGATGTAATACTTTTCTATGAACATGGTGGTGTAAACGTTGGAGATGTCGATGCAAAGGTTTTTTTTTGCAAATTTTCGTCACAATAGAGCACCACAGTATTCCCTAATTTAAGTTCTTTGAAAATATTATTTGTAGAATTCTTTTTTTAATAGGGAGAAATCTCATCATATTCAATAATTTCAATGATTTTAAAGTTTATTACTTTTAATTTAAATTTTTACAGCTATTCAGTTATTAGTTAATACTATTTTAATTTTGATCCAGGCATATTTTAGGCTCGCAAACTTCTTGTTCCAGTTAGTTTCGATAAAAAGTCCTATCAAATTTTAAATGAAACATTGATCAATCTTATTGGAAAAGAAATCATTAGCATATTTCCGTATGTTTTCTTCTTTTTTATTCAATTTATTATTAGCACTTTTATTATATTATTATCATTTGTTTTCAGTTTCTAAATCATTTTTTAAAATTTAGATCAATTGGCGAATTCGTACAAAAACTCTATGATATCTATGTTGAAAATCATTTCACCTACTTGGAGATTAATCCACTTGGTGAGAAAATAAGGAGATTCTCTTCTCTTCTCGTTTGTTGATGAATAATATTTTTACCAATATTTTTATAGTAATAAAAGATGGAAAAATATATATCTTGGATTTGGCTGCTAAGCTTGATGAAACGGCTCTGTTTCTTTGTTCAGAACTATGGAAAACTCGTGATGGGCATCCACTTGAATTTCCAGCTCCGTTTGGTAGAAGTCTGACAGTTGAGGTTTGTTATTCATTCAGAAATCAAGTTGATGCAGATGCCAGAATTCAATTTTTTTTAATATTTAATATCTAATATTCTGGAATAAAATATTTGCGAATAATTGTAGACCCTTTACAGAAAGTGTTGAATATTTTGAAAAGAAAAAAATTAGTATATTTAGGAGCAGTATATTGCGGAATTAGATTCAAAAACCGGTGCTTCATTAAAATTGGTCATATTGAACCGAAAAGGTCGCATTTGGACAATGGTAGCTGGCGGAGGTGCATCTGTTGTTTTTGCGTAAGGCTCTCTCTATATTTACATTTTTCTGGAAAACTTTGTGCTTTCCATATTTTGACATTTGTTTCATTTTTTCCGTTTTATTGACTATATGCTATGATTTTTCCACAAAAAAATATGTTCTTACTATGGCTTTAATTTTGCAATTATTTTCAGTGATACGGTTTGTGACTTGGGAGGAGCGAGTGAACTTGCAAATTATGGTGAATACTCTGGCGATCCAAGTGAAACATTGACTTATGAATATGCAAAGACAATTCTCGGTGTTATGACAGAAGGTGAGCCAAATCCAAATGGAAAAGTGTTAATAATTGGTGGATCTATCGCTAATTTTACTAATGTTGCAGCTACTTTTAAGGTGATTTTTGGAAAATTTTGTTTTCATTTTCATTTCATTTAATTGATCTAATTTGCATTATGCTGTATTTTTAACCGATGAACTGTATTTCGCTTTTAGGGAATAGTTCGTGCATTTCAAACATTCCAAACAAGGCTTCGCGAACATAAAGTTACTATTTTTGTTCGTCGAGGTGGACCCAACTATCAAGAAGGCTTACGAAGGATTAAAGAAAGCGGTAAGTATAATTGTTATTGGTTCTAAATATAAGTGTTATATAGAAAAATTTAATTTCAACCTAATTTATATAGATTATATCGTTTTCGTTATCGTTTATATATCGTTTTCACCAGTCGAAAATTCGATCTTCAGGAAGACATTTCATTTATTTATCATTAAGTTCTTACGATTTCAAATGCGATGAGTTGTCAAAAAAATTTTTTATTTATTATAAGCTTATTTTATTTATTTGAAAATAGCCAAATAAGACAAGCTTCACCTTGCGTTAATATAAAATATTATTGTAATATAAAATAAGCTTCACTTTATGTTAATGTAAAAGGTAACAAAGGTAACAAATAAAGCGAAATTAATGAAGCAATATTATTAAATGCTGATAAGAACTAATAATTAAAAGAAAAGCATTAAAAAAATATAAAAAATTTTTAAAATGATTTTGAGGGAGTTAGTAATTAAATTATCTCATATATGACCTCATCTAAATTTTTCTTAGAATTAAATATTGATAGATCGGACACTATAGTATAGTCCATTCCTTTTATTAAAAAATTCGTTCCCTTTGTGAAAAATTGCTGGGCTTAGTTTTGCAGATTGATTTTAGTCCATTGCTTTGAATTATATTGAAATTCAGGCTAAAATCGTTTTTGATTATAATTTAATTTTAGTTTATTTTATTGCTATTAATTAATAGGTGCGAAATTTAATTTGCCGATATTTGTGTATGGTCCCGAAACGCATATGACAAGTATTGTAGCTGCTGCCTTGAAGCTTCGCCCTCTTCCAGAGAGTCCAGCTGCTCCACAAACTACTGGTCAATTCCTTCTGCAACCGGAACGCTTTGTGTGTATTCATCTTGACTTTCTTTTCCTAAATCGAATGATATTTTACACAGCTATATTGTTATATTTTTTCATTTTTTACGTGACTGATATTATAGGCAGCTGGAACCATACGATCGGAACCATTACGTAACGTAGCAACTTCACCCAGGCGAACAGTTTCTGGTGAAAATTCTGCCTTGGTGGTAGATGGTTGCCCATTATTACCTTTAATAAATCTTTTCGATTGTGATACCAAAGCAATCGTTTGGGGACAGCAAATAAAAGCTATACAGGTAAATTTAAAAATATGTGAATTTTATCTGATTATCATTAAGAAATGATTAATGGCGTTTAAGGGAATGTTAGACTTCGATTTCGTATGTGGTCGTGAACAACCTTCGGTAGTGGCTTCTACTTATCCATTTACGGGTGATCATAAACAGAAATTTTATTTTGGACACAAGGTCTTTTTATATAAATTCATTAATTTATAGAATGTGAGCGTAATATTGTTGCAATTTTTATTTTTACACTAAATAAAAATGTTTGTTTTTACACTTTTATTACTTTCTTCTATAATTTTAATTATAGGAAATCTTAATATCAGCCTATAAATCAATGAAAAAGGCTATAATATCTCATCCAAGTGCGTCAGTGATGGTCACTTTCGCTTCACTTCGATCAGTCTATGAAATGGTTTTGGAAGCTATGGAATTTCCTCAAATTCGTGTAATTGCGATCATTGCTGAAGGTGTTCCGGAAAATTTGTCGAGAAAAATAATCAAGGTCTGTTGTATAAACAGTTCATATAAAGCTTAGTCATTATTTGTGGCATATAACTTAATTTTAAGATCGCTAACGAAAAGGGTGTTATGATAATTGGTCCTGCAACAGTTGGTGGCATAAAACCTGGCTGCTTTAAAATTGGTAATACTGGTGGTATGATGGATAATATACTTTCTTCAAAGTTATATCGTCCGGGAAGGTACATTTTTCTTCTAGAGTTAGTGGTATTAGCTTGCACTTCAGAAATAATGAATAAATTTTAGTGTGGCTTATGTTTCGCGTTCCGGAGGAATGTCAAATGAACTCAATAATATTATCTCACAGAATTCCGATGGAGTTTATGAAGGTATTGCTATCGGCGGTGATCGCTATCCGGGAAGCACATTCGTCGATCATTTAATGCGTCACGAAAGAGACGAAAGGTTTATATATTTTTTATAATCAGCGGGGTTTCCTTACATGTTAAAGGCTTTCATTGTTTTTTGCAATGTCTGCTGCTTGATTTTTATCTTTATCTCAAAATGAGATGAAGTTTTATTTTATATTATATATTTAGAGTAAAAATTATGGTTCTTCTCGGCGAACTTGGTGGTGATTTAGAATATAAAGTGGTGGAGGCTCTTAAAAATAAGAGAATTACCAAACCTCTCGTTGCTTGGTGCATTGGGACTTGTGCCGATTACATTACTTCAGAGGTTTTTTTGCGGTTTCTTTCTTTTTACGCTTTTATTTTTATATATTTTTATCTCATCCAGTTGTTCATTATCTAACTTTATCTAAGGTTCAATTTGGTCATGCTGGTGCCTCAGCAAATGCTAAATCTGAAACAGCAGTTGCAAAAAATTCTGCTTTGCGTGATGCGGGTGCTATAGTACCGAATTCTTTCGATGATCTTGGTCACCAAATTGCGAAGGTGTATTAATGTTTTCAATTTTATTCCTGTATGTTGTGTATTGAATTTTTTATTTTTTACTTTTTTTTCTGTTTATCTATATTTTTCTGCAATATTTATATCTTATACTATAAACGAAAAGTCTTGGCCCAGAAAATATTGATAAATGTAGATATATATATTTATTTCTAGATATACGAAAAACTAGTTAAGGATGGCATAATTGTTGTGCAGCAGGAAGTTCCACCACCAGCAGTGCCTATGGACTATGCTTGGGCAAGGGTAGAATTTTCAGCATAAAATGAATTATTTTGATGGGGATCTCAATTTTTTTCAAATATTTTAACATTTTTTATAATTTTTCATTACAGGAACTCGGGTTAATTAGGAAGCCTGCATCTTTCATGACGTCAATTTGTGATGAAAGAGGCGAGGAACTTTTATATGCGGGGGTACCAATTTCTAGAGTGCTCGAGCAAGGACTTGGAATTGGTGGAGTATTGAGTTTACTTTGGTTTCAAGTAAATTGTTGTATTTATTGGCTAACCACTTCGTGAATTGCTTATATCATTAATATTTTTCTATTTTTACTCTTATTTTCTTATTTTCATTTTATTTCCATTCTTTTATACGATATTTTACATTATTTCTTTCAAATCCAAAGTCGATTAGATGTGATTCTGCGTTTAAATAAGCTATTCCAGAAACGACTTCCCGACTATGCTAACAAATTTATTGAAATATGTTTGATGTTAACTGCTGATCATGGACCAGCTGTAAGTGGTGCTCATAATGCTATAGTATGCGCAAGGGCTGGAAAGGACCTTGTTTCATCACTTGCATCTGGATTATTAACCATTGTATATCATTATTTTATATGAAAATCATTTCAATCTTTTAAATTCATTTATTTATTGTTAATTTAATCTTTTCGATTTTTAGGGTGATCGATTTGGAGGTGCACTTGATGGCGCTGCACGTCAATTTAGTGAAGCTTTTGATAAAGGATTATCGCCAATGCAGTTTGTTAATGAACAACGTCGTATTGGAAAATTTATAATGGGAATTGGTCACCGTGTTAAATCGGTATTAGTTTTCCTTTTTTTTCCTTCTTCCCCATTGTTGTTCCGTTCTTATTCTACAAAGTTGATTTTTTGTAGATCAATAATCCTGACAAGCGTGTGGAAATTCTCAAAAATTTCGCTCTCGATCGTAACAAATTCAAGCAAGAAACTCCTTTATTTGAATATGCTCTAAAAGTTGAAGAAATTACGACAGCAAAGGTTTTTTGCGGAAGCTGTTTTTAAATCATTTATAGAACCATAGAATAGTTATGTGACAATTTTCTTTTCTCAGTTTCGCTAAATTATCCTTTAATTGAAAAAGATGGCGAAGGATATAGTTAAGTTGAGTTAAGCAATTGTGATCCATTCTAAATCCACTTTTCATTTTTTAGAAACCAAATTTAATTTTGAATGTGGATGGAGCCATAGGTGTTTTATTTGTTGATGTTTTACGTTGTTCTGGAATGTTTACACCTACAGAAGCTCAAGAAACTGTTGAAATTGGAGCGTTGAATGGTCTCTTTGTTCTTGGTCGCAGCATTGGGTTTATTGGTAATTTTCATTTTCCTTATACCCCCTTGGATTGTAGTGGATTTTAACGATATGATTTTCAATTCCATTTTACAATAAAATTTTTTTATTTTTTACTGCGAAATTTTTAAAGGGCATTACTTGGATCAGCGGAGATTAAAGCAAGGATTATATCGTCATCCATGGGACGATATAACGTATGTTATGCCTGAGGGTGAATTTGGAATGGATAATATGAGCTGCACGATCTTACCATCATGAATCCCATAATTTTATAAATTAATTATATATTAAATTTATATTCCCGTCATTTTCATTTTATTATGGAAAAATAAAAAAAGGTGTTAGATGAAATATTTCCATTGAATGAGTTCTTTACTTTATTTTATTTTACTTTACTTACTTTATTTACTTTACTTTTTACTTATTGAAATTGTTGTTATGTTGACGTTTAACACTTGAAAGTGACCAAATACTATATCAATTAATTTTTAACATTTACAATTGTTAATTATCGGTTAGTTACCATTTTATTATTTAACATTTAGATATTTATTTTTGTTTTTATGTTGGGTCGGCAATCTGTTCCATATGTTAATTTTTTTTAAAAAAAAATCTTTATGTCATTTATTTCGAGTAAAATTTTTATCAGAAATATGAAATATCTTTATGTGCCAAATTTTTATTTTAGATGGTTATAAAACAAGAACTGGCAGAAATCTCATTACCACTTCTTTCTTCTTAGTTAACTCTTTAATTTAACAAGATAGCATTGGCAGTTAGGATGAGCTAAAGTTGCAGAGAGCATTTTTTTTGTAAAGCTTTTTTTGTCGATTTTTTGGCTATCTCGAGGACAATTTTGCACAATTTTGGCGAACTGCGTACCACTCTAACATTTGATAAGTTATTTGGTACGTTTAATTATTGCAAAAATAAAAACTCAGTAGATGAAGCAGTTCCTATTTTCCAATGTTATCTTGTCCGGAACTTTATTACTTTTTTTTATTTTGAAGTTTGCGAGGTTTTCTTTGTCTTTTGGGGATTTCGCAAAATTTAATAAGCATTTATCGCTTAATGAATATGGTCAAATGTGGTGAAACTTATCAATCATTAATCATTGGCGTCGATTGCGATGAAATTCTGGCGGATATAAAGGCCACAATAAAGCTTACGTCATTTTGCTCGAATAGCTTAATTTTTTCATCGAGTGAGGCATTTTTAGCGGTGAGTTTAATTTTATATTTCCCTAAATTTAAGCTGCTTAGTGGCTGAATTATTTTTTGAGATAGAGTTTGAATGTTTGAATGGGATTTGTGCTTAATATAATATGTGCTTAATTTTTCGGAAGATTAAGTTGAATTATTTAATTTTAAGAAAGAAGAAGTTGAAAAATACTTTTCCAGTCGATTCTTTTGCATTTTTTTTGATTTTATTTTCTAATCTCGAAGTTGCAACTGGAACTCTTGAATATTCTGAAAACCTCTCTGAAGAGGATGGATTTGAAGATTTTATGCCTCTCATAGGAGGGCTTTCCGAAATATTTCTCGATGTGGTTTTAATCTTTGTCTGAAACAATTCTTGGTTGTTAGTCGAAAATAACCAAAAAGAAAAAATTTAATAATTCGACAAATTATTAGATTTTTGATTTTTGCAGTTTCGCTGCTTTAAGATTAAACGCATAGCGAGGATAAACAGAGGAAACTACCTTAGTTTCTGGAATAGTCGGCAATGTGATTATTATTGAAATTAATTTTTGAAAACCACATTTTTAATTGTTGATTTATATTCCATAACATTCGTATTTGATGAAAATAACGTACCGGAATCGTTCCTACTGCTGATATTCGAGTATTTACTGGTTCATTTTGCTTCATCATTGGCTTGACAACTGACTTTGGTTTATCAGACCCCTTAAATTATAGAGAAAAATAATAGCTGGGCAAAGTTTCAACAAACTGGTCTTCTCTAAAAGGTCCCAATAGTTTTGGACGATTCATTCTCGTTCAAGGAAGATTGGAATAGGGATATGTCAGCGAACCCGCCATTCTTTTCTAGCCCAAATCAGCAACCACCGTTGTGGATGCTGGCGTTGGTAGAATAAGGGGAGAGGAGTGGCTAAGAGGTTGGACGGACTTTGTGTTAAATTTTCCATTAAATTGGTGTAATCACCTATGTTTAAAGTTAAAAGTTAAGTAAAATATTTGCAAGGAACCAGGTAAAATAACTGAATTTAAAGCAAGAAATTTCTTTTTCTATAAAATAAAGCACTATTTTTAAAATACGAAAGGACAACGTGTTTTTTCGCATTGTTTGATGATGCAATGTTGAGAAGAATGTTCCTTGCCGTAGCTGGTGCCATTATTGTATGGGTTAGTTGACGTTCAAGCTTTGGCTAAAATAAATTATACATCAAAGATGGATTAACTTATTTCGTTGATAAGCTAGGTAAAGGTTTCTTTCGAAAGCATATTTTTGGGAACAATAAAATGTATAGTTCCTTTCAAATGATCGCTCATTCATTCATCATTCATCAAATCATTTGAAAATCTCCATATAGTTTAATGATATTCATATCGATTGAAGAAGGATGGGAACTTTGGCGGCATTTATTAAAAGCAACATAAAATTGCAGAAATATTTCGAAAGAACTTACCAAATCATTATCAGCTTCAGCAAGAACCATTTCCGTCTTAAGCTGGCGGCTATCAGAAGCAGGTCTTTGTTGGTTATCTGTTATTTTGCCTATATTAATTTTTACTCCAGTTTTAGCGGTTTTCCGGTCGCTTTTATCTTGTTGCTCTCTATTTGAAGCAGAAGTTCCAATTTTAGCTTTTCGCTCGTCAGTACAACGGACATCATGACTGAGTTGGTTTTTAAAATTGCCTTTACGCGATGCCTCTAATTTATTTCATTTATATGTAGTTTTATAAAGGATATCGTGTTTGAGACCATCTTCGATAGACCTGTTCGATCTTATTTATAACTTAGCTTTATTATTTTTATAATTCTATTTCTTTCTATAAATCAACACAAACCGAGTAGTGCAAAGCTGAATATTGCAAAAAAAAGCTTTGCTTCATTTGGAAATTAACAATTTTAATAAAAACTTTTTTCATTATTTGTTATTTTAATTATTTATTAACTTAATATTAATTTAATCTATCCAATTTAACTAATCATCAAATGGGAGGCTATATTCTTAAAGAATTCTCTGCCTTTTTGAGCCATAGATCCGTTTGGAAGTATGAGTACGTTCTTGAAATCCATGGATCTCTTCGATTAATGCATAGATGGAAATAAAACGGTTTGGTTTCTGTCAGTAACACTGCTAATTATTACTACCCAGTTTCATAATCTAAGGCTTGGTTGCGGATTTTTGGTGAAAATAGCCTAAATTTTTTCCGATCCAAGTTCGCAGATTCCTCGAAACCTGACCATTTTTCTTAAGGATTAAACTTCTTTAAAATGAGAAATGAAAGTACATTATTTTACATTTTCTGTCATTATTTCGGAAAGTTCATTCATATCTGCTGTCGTCTCCATATCTTCATTTACCTAAAGTGGAATTTTATAGTGGAATTTTATTTTATATCTTCAATAATCAAAACAAGTTTTATCTGTTTTCAAATCGTACTTTTTCAATGAGAGAAAAAGGACGAAGCTTATGAGGTCTATCAAGAGACTGTGTTCTTTCGCTAATTGAGTGCATCGGAATCTGGACTCCAGAACTTGCTGAACGTTTATAGACCTTTAAAAAAAGTTGCAAATTATAGTGTTCTTAAATTATTAAATCACTGGCACTAATAGCTTTTCTACGTTCCTACTTTGATTCAAAGAATAAGTTTAGTGTTAGAAAATTTACCCGACTTAGACTTGATAATTTCGGTGGTGGTGCTTTTGGCTCTTTCAGTTCCACAAAAAGACCGCCTGAAATATAATTAAGAACTGTAGGAACAATTTCTTCTTGAAGAGTATTTTAAGATTAGAAGTTGAAACGTGAAAATAAATTGCAACTTTAATTCGAGAATGGAATGGGGAAAGTAATTTAAATAATATGGAGATTTCAATAAACAAATGTATGGGCACACACATTCCTTGATTCGTTGCCTCTCAGCTTCACTTAATAAACTCCAACATTCGGATTTCATTGCACTGGCTGCATAATGTAAGATATGCCTATCAATCAGTTCATAAAGTCGTCGCACCAAATTTACGAATCGCTGAATTTATTTACAATACATCCGAAATATTTAAAATAAATATTTAATTGTACTTCATTAAAGGGAAAAAAAATAACCAAAAATAACGAATCGAGTCAACAATAAACAATAAACTGAACTGAAAAGCTCAGTAATTTTTAAATATGATGCTGGTTTGCAATTTCAGATAAGTGAAACTGGAATAAGTGAAATTATTCCTGTTTGAATTTTAACTAGTATTCCATAAAATAAAGTAGCGAACCGAGCTCCATTCATCAAGAATTTCTTTTGGTACCATGCAGCGGTCTTCTGAAGTACTATCATTGTCGATGGATGCCATCAATGAAGAAATATTAAGATATGATCGAATAGCCGTATCAATTTTAAGGCCATGAACAACAGCTGGAAAAATGCTTTCTAACAAAGAAAGATTCAGAGCCAATCCCTGAAAAAAATTCGGTTCTCAGTCGGTATCTTTATTTATTTGGGATGAAAAAAAGCGTGGCAGAAGCCATGCGCTTATAATTATAATCATTACATAAAAGATAAATCAAAGCCAATGTGGACAAATAAAAAGAAATAAAATGTGGACAAATAAAAAGAAAAAATTATTACTATTGTATTAATGAGAGTGGATGATATGATTGTAAATAATAAATATCATGGATAAGTCTATCCAATTTATTAAACTCGAGACTGACGGTCAAAAATAACATCAACAAATAGTTTGTTCCAATAGTTAGTGAAAAAGTTGTGGGAAATGACCTGTGTTGTGGTTGGTCTTATAAACTGGTTTCCGAACTTTATTTTGGCCCAATAGCTCTCGTATTATTTGAGTTCAAGGAAAGAATTTAAAATTTAAGAGGATTCCTGATTCTTAATGAATCCAAATCATGCTTAAATTTAAATTTGGTCAGATTAATAGTAAGATTTGGATGATTTGGATGAAGAAAATATTTTTGCAGGCCCTTCAATTGATTGACTTACTTGATCTTAGAGAGGAAAAGATCCTTTTTATATTTTGCTATATTTTACTTGAGGATGAACAAAAGTATCATAAGGAAAATGTGGATTTATTCTTGAAAGCTCTGAGCAGTTAACATTAAATTTTAGAGGTTTCTTTGACTATTTCTATTGTTGAGCTCAAAATCAAGATCATTGTATAAACCAGACGTATTTCCAAATATTTGAAATTCAAACGTTTATTAATGATTTGTAGAGATCGGAACATTTCGAGTGGAGCAATTTGCATTACTTTTTATTAGAGAATTTTATCCGCCTGCTTTGGATTAAATGGTCTTTTAAAATCAGTCTGTAAAACGGATAAATCATCCAGTCGCTCATATACGTTAATACAGTTTACAGTTATCCGTATTGCGATTTTAATAAATGGTGAGTAGTATTAACAACATCATTAACATAAATAAATTAATAATAAATTTTGCTTTTTAAAAACGCAATAAAATTTAGGAATATAGCAAAGAATTTAGAAGTAAAACGATAGTTATTTAAAATTATATAGAATTCGCACCTTTCCTTGCGATTTAAAACTTTCTGAACTGATAACCAAATCAAAGGACTGATGAAGAAATTCTTGAATGTAGTCGAGAACATCATTTACAAGAATTCCAACCGCTTCACTCGCAACAGTCGATTTGAATCGAGGCAAAGAGGCCTAAATATTTATTTCTTTTCTGATCACTAACTTGGATTTCATGGGAAAAAGAAATAGACTAAAGTTAAAATCAAGTAACCCAAATAAAAAATTAACTGTATTTAAAGCTATTAAGTAATTTTAGAATCTTCATTCGACAACTAACCTGTAACCTTTCACACCCAAGTAATGCATCGATTAGTGATTCCTCATCCTGAAAGATCAGCACCACTTCAAATATAGAAAAAAATTTTTATATGATCCCACTTTTTATCATAATTCTTTGAATTCTCTGAATGATATTTCTTCCTCATCCATTCATCAAACCATGGATAAAAAATTTTGAATGATTTTAGACTGAACTAAACTAAATGATAGAATAAAATTCCATACCATTTCTCGAACAACTGCCTCAAAACATTCCTTTTGCCACCGAGAATTCAAGTGCAAGAAAACTCGACCTCTCCATATTCTTGAAAAATGCTTTGCTTGCCATTTTAGAGCCTTAAGTAGGCATTTCGTAAAATTCATTAAATTATAACTATTTAGCATTAAAAAAGAATTTTTAGACTTCCAAAGATGTCAGAGAGATGAAAGCAATATGTTCTCTATTATTTCCCCTTAAATTTTTATTATGATAACAAATAAACTTGACAAAAAATACTTATAAATACTTAAAAAATACTTCATAGTATAGTGGTTGAAGACATTTAACTGAATAGAAATGAGGAAGCGCATCAAAAATGGCAGAAACACATGAAGCACAAGGCTAGAAAGGTATTAAAATTTGGCTTAAATTTAAATTTTCTAATCAAAATTTTGCTTTTAAATTTAAGGCAAAAATTATTTTAAAAAAATAAAAATCATTTTTATAATATCGTTGTCATTTATTCTTTAATACATAATTTGATTTCAACTATAATTAAATCGATTTAATTGAAATTAATATAATAAATATAATTAAAATTGCTAAAATTGCTAAAATCTGCTAAAAAAAAGGAATTGAAGAATGTGCAGTTATCCTTAAATAATCTGAATTTCAATAATTTAAATGCTAAATTCTTTGTATCTAAGTGATAAAACATATTTTGGACTATATTTTGGACTTTTTTTTGCTTATCTACCATATAAATTTTCATGTTTATTAGCAAAAATGAGTAAAAACTGCAGCAAAAAAATTGATAAAAAAGGAAAATAGCCAGTAATTTTGGTGGTAATAATTATAGATAATAATTATAGATAATAATATTATCCAATCGGAAAATAGAGAATTAAGAAAATACGTACTCGATGGAAAAAATGGCATTTATTGGCTTTGAAGTGAAAGAGTATAACTTGAATTAGATTATCGACATCGAGGTGTGTTGCCAGCGATATTAATTCCCATACATCAACATCAGCACCAATTGTTGTTAAGCCACCATAAAGAAATGATAAGAAAAAGTGTACAACTGTTCTTGAATACCTAGAATTTCCGATGCTTCGATATGTCCTCTGAATGAACTGGTCCAATTATTAAGTCAATAAACTCACTATTTCTAGTTATTTACTCTGCTGTTTTATCTTGGCGATAGAAGTAAAGTTGGCTCGCCAGCACCATCCGCATTTCATAAGGTTTAGTCATGTAAGATTAGAACCCTTGCCTCTCAAAAAGATAATCTAAATTACTATCGGCTCAGCTATATTGATCTGAAATGGCCTAATAGGCTGGTTTAGATCCATTACTCTTACCTTATTTTATGGTTTTTTTCAATGATGTCAGAAATTTATAATTTAATAAAAGGACATACCCTTTCAGTTCAATGCAATCAACTCGCTGTGTTCGAAGTTGATTGCGGAAATAAGGACATGTCGCTGACAGGATGCACCTGAAAAAAATTTAGTTCAGATCGATCAAAAGAACCTATGAACAGCAGCCATTTACCAGTGGGTGCATTCACAGATAATTTTATATCCATAAAATCACCAAAGTAAATTAATCAATAAGAAAGACCTATAATATCAAATTCGACTGGCTTTTTACCCATATTAATTTAAGTGAAGATCAAATTATAAATTATAAAAAATACTTTTATGGTTGCTTCATGAAAATCTATAAATCTATAAACACATAGTATAAAATTTTTTAATCTTGCTACTTTTTACTTTTGAAATCAACCAAAATAACGTACCTATGTGCGAAAAGTTCGCCATTATCAGTTTTCACCACAATATCTGTGTCGATATTATTAAGATATAAATCGAGAAGATCAGAAGCTAACTTGCAGGACGGATTGCGATCAGCAACAAAAACTGGTACTAAAATTTGTTTCACTGACTTAATACATCAATAATTTCGCAAACATTCGTAGATTTAATGGAAAAATTAGTAATAATACATATAACAATAACAATTTTATTGTTTTAGACAAAGATTTATGAAAGATTAGAAAAGTATATTAAAATATCACTATCTTGATTCGGCATAATATCGATGGACGTTAACGAATTCAATGATGTTCCAGATGATTTTCTAGCAAACAGAGCTCGGCTACGGATATCATCTGGAGCAGGAGCGCTACGCCACATATCCAAGTCGGTGTCACCTAAATTTCAAAAGTTCACTTCCAAAATTGTCAAAGAAAATCACTAGCTCTCGCACAAGAATTTTTCAGCATCTATGTCTATGAGCTTTCTGCGTTGCAGATGATAGATTTATTCCTCCCGGCATTGTTTCCCCAAGATGGAAGCAACTGTTTACTCAACTTCTCAAATTCTATTCATAAGATTAATGAATATTTTCTCGATTAAATTTTAAAATGATTCCAATTGTCGATGAGCCGAAAATAAAAATTTTTTAAAATCGGGAAAAAAAACTAATTAAAATTAAAATTAATTAAAATTAAAACTCTTTCTTGATTTAGCCAATGTTCTTCTTCGGTAGTTTTAAAAACTACTTATTTATTTGACTTCATATAATCCTTATTTATTTCAGTATAATTTTGAAAATTTTGTTAAGTTTAAGATAAAAAAATTAAGAGAATTCTAAATAATTCACCCTGTAAACCTATAAACATTTGAAACATTCGTTTTTGTGAATATCCAGCGGTATTCATTTCATCATTTTTTTCGCTGGCGTCACTCATCTTAATCAACTGATCTGTGGAATCTATAATTTGATATCATTCCTTATCATATTTTGTTAAACTTGGCCTGACTTGTAATTTTATTTAGAATCAGCGTGAACATATATTCTAATCGAAAAAATTTTTAATATCGAATACCAGTCGTGCTTCTTTCCACTGAACCGTCACGTACTTGTCCAGTTTGTAAGTGATCTGAGGAAGTGGAAATACATATAGAAGAATCTGAAGCCAATTCTCGGAAAGATGTCATCATTGGAGTAATCTCAGACACTGGAAAATTTTTCACTATTTTATTGATATACAACAGGATTTTAAAAAATCTGAGGCTGATGCTTTTCTGCGCGTTAAAAAATTTCTTAGTTGAATAAATCATAAATTCAAGATTTTTTAGAAAATATTGTTTCGGAGAATTTCGACAGATTCCATATTTATATCTTCTAGTAAAATATTTGATTAGTTGATTCGATTCTAAAGTGTCGAAATAAAATTTTGCTATTGCACCATTGTAATCATACCATGCTTCTTACTTTCTTTTCTAAAAGCTCACCATTTCCAATTAAGTTCGCTGCGTTAGCTTGCCGTACCAGACAAATTTTGCCACTTGGCGTTATAAGCACGAATGTGTCCATGTAATAGGGCATGAGGCTAATAGAATAATTTTAAGGTAGAACAGTTGATTGACTATTGCTTAGATTATCATTATCATTACCCTCGACCATGACAAGAAAGATTAACCTGTCATGTCCAAAATCGTGCAAGACAGGTATTTAACTACCCTACCCTCGAAGGGCTCCCTGGAAAAGAGCCTAATTATCACCCAGTGAAGCAAGCCTAACGAGAAATTCTAAGTACTAAATAATTAATAAGACAATTTTGAAGCTATTGAAAAAATGATAAGAAAGAAAAAGACTGAAAAATTAAAAGCTAAGAAATAAATTTAAAATCAACCGAAAAATGAATTTAAAGAGAAATCAGAAAAAAGGAACTCGAATCGTTAGATTCCTTCTCTCTGCAAGTTGCAGAAGAAACATGATATGAATCGACTGGTATGTAATCAAATTCTCCATTATTACCATCTTGATTGCATTTTTCAAAATCGGTTGATTCTTTCGTATCGTAAAACGCTTTTGTAACATGAGATCCCTCATCTAAAAACACCTTAAAATATTGTCTTAATTATGCACAATTTTCTTGAATGTTGTTGCCAATAGCTTCTTTCTAGGAATTTATCTACAGCATTTGTATAAGTAAATATTAGCTTAAATATTCGAATCCAGATAAATAGATGTTAGCTTGATTTCAAACTGATTATTTAGATTTATAATGAAATTTTCTGAAGACGAAAACGGGAAAGTGCAGGAGACCTCATCTGCAATTTTGCCTATAAGTAATTCATTGGTGAAGGAGTTTTATTTCATGAAGAAATCAAACCAGAAAGCCAAATCGGTGAGTACGTTTAAAAAAAGGAATTTCAAGGTGGGCTAATAAAAATTTGGATTCATATTTCATTATAATCCATGGATAGTCAGTTTTTCAATGTTTATATTTTCTAATAAGACTGCTAAACTAATTTTTGTTTGGAGAATAGAATGGTTTAGTGGATTATTGCTCAGTTCGAAGCACCGATATTCTCCTCCCTGCAGGAAAACCTGTCCAAAAATTCGGATGATGTTGGCGACCTGTTGCTACTTCAACCTTCAAGGGACCCCTGGCATATTTGTTTAGTGCGAGAAACCAGCGGAGCGAGTCTAACCAGCAATGGAGAGGGCTCTTGAAAAAAAAAAGTTTTTAATTTTGATAAGAAGATAAAATTCAAAAATATCATAGCAAATTAGAAATTATCGTACAAACCAACCATTATCATTTTTCTTTCGATCATCACCATCGTTTTCACTATATCCAGGCAATTGAGAGATTTCATCATCAGTGTACACTGATCTGAATTCTTATCACTGATTAAAATCAAAAGTCTCAGAAAATGAGAAATTCGGTTGTACTATTCTTTCGAGTTTATTGTGTTATCTTCCATTATCAACGAAATATAAATTTTTACTTAATTTTTTATTTAAATTCGAACAACACAAAATGAATTTCTTTTTGCAGAAATTTTAAGCAAGGAAAGTAGAATTAATCTTACTTTAAGAAAAATTTCAGTCCAGCTGAATCGATATCGCCAACAGCCACTTCGAGAAGACTATTTGAAATTGCTTGTCGGTTGGCTGCTACTAAAGTCGGCTTTATATAAGTTCGATAAAAGCCTGGCGCTCGTTGTCGTAAAATGCATAGATGTGATGGAAGTTTGCTACCATCAGCAGCAACCAGTATAACATCGGCGTCATGAGGATCGCCAATCCGAAATTTAATTTTTTCTAATTTAAATTATTAAATTTTAATGAGCCCAAAAAAAAAATCTTTTGAGTTCAATTTAAAATTTACTTGCATGGTATGAATAACAAAATATTTTAGATAAATGGATTGTACCATCTCTTCTAAAAAACCATTTAAATAAATCAGTAGGGGAAATATCTATTCAAACTATCGATTAAATTAAGCAAACAATACAATATTTGATACCATTAAAATTGATTCTTGGGATGAACATACTGAGATGAATGGAATCATGGTAATGGGCGAAATCTATGGATGATATCTATTCAGCATTGAAATTTTTATGTTAACAAAGCTGATCTATCAGAAATGAATTTGATAACATTCATTAATATGAATCAGATTTAATGCTCTCGCAAATCGGGAAAACAAAAAACTGTGTTGGTTAGAGATATTTTAAAATAGCCATTTCGATGCAGCCAAAATAAATCATGGAAATAATTTGATAAAATTGCAAGTTTTTAAACATTTCCTTTTAAATTTATACAAAAGCAGATGAGAAATACAAAAGCAGATTTAAAATTTTGGAATAAATGGATAATGGGAGTATAATGGGAATTATAAAAAAATGATTCCAATTGCGCGGTAGTTAAAAATTTTACCAGTCGAATTCGTAAATTCCCTAAATATTTGCCATTAAAAGTGGAATAGAGTGGTGTTGAACATTTTTCATTTTTTAAACTTATTTATGGTCAAGTTACTCTAGTTAGAGCTTTTCGTAGTAAATACAACTAACTAAACGAGAATTGATGAACGTTATTAAAAAAAGAATTATGTTGTAACATTTGAGCAAGAATAAAGTCTGAAGACTTCAGTTTTGGAAAATTTAGATATTTGCGCAAAAAAATTGAGAATAAACAAGCCAATGGTTCAAATAGCAATAGCTGTTATATCTACTTTTTCAACAACGGGAAAAAATGAATATCAACTGAAATTGGAGGAATTCTTTTTCTTCTTAAGAATCCTCACCATTACTGGTTACACTCGCTCCACTGGCTTGTCGCATTGAGCAATATGCCAAGGAGTCCCTTGGCGATAGAAACACAGGTGGATCGCTAGCATCCCCCGGATTTTTGTGCAGGTTTGCTCCTGCGGGAAGTCGAACAGCAGCTTCGGCTGCTCCAAATTGAGCAACAACCCATTGAGCCATCTTATCCCCCATTGGATGAATTCATGATGAAATAACTTTCAAAAACACAATCATTTCGTCAAGTTTTCATCTCTCTAATTAACTGCTACACTTTAGTGGACCCAATGTATTCAAGTGGTCCATTTAGCTCTTATTATTTGACTTGGACTTAGGCCTTACTTTTAGTTGATTATTTTATCATTAAACAAAGAAATTTGATTATGATCCAAGCGAATGTTCAATTTTTTATAAAATTATTTTTTTGTCCAATAAAAATTCCCTACCAAATTTGCCAAATTCATGCGTAATTCACTGGCTAATCGAAATTGAAGTTGTTTTCGTTCGGATGCATAGTTTTCCCATGAAAGTACACAATGCATTGAATTTTAAATATCAATAATATTTATCGTTTAAGACAAAAAAACTAATCATTCATCTGAAATTAATATTTTTATTATAAAATCCGAATTTTTTAAATTATATTTCGCATTAAAAACAATTTTATAAAAAAAACAAAAATACAAATTTTTATTATCTGAATGAATATTAAATTTCGATAATATAAGTAGAATTTAAGTAATATAATTTAATAAAATTTATTTCATAATTTACGGGCCTTTAAGACGATTTCTATTCAAATAAAGTTTAAAAAACTGTTTTTGTTGAGATTAGAAGCTGGATGTTCTACAGTAGCCGAATGGCTATTTTTCGCTACAATTGCCGAAATTGCTCAGATTAACGTTTGGAGCACCATGCCGCACTTCAACAGGAATAAGCCTGAAAGTGATGCTGGTGGCTATTAAAAATGCAAGTGATGCTGGTAGCTATTTGAATTTCTATTCCAGTGATTCTTTCATATAAAGAACAAGTGGAGCTGGAGTGGAGTATAATGGTGATAAATGGTGACACATTCAGTCACAAATTCTAGATTTTTTCTTCGATGCACGGTAAATTATTCGTTATTTAATCAGTCTCACGAGATAACTTATTTTTCTTACGATTATTACTGAACTTCAATAACAATAAGACAATGAAAAGCCATGCTTTCACATTCATTAGCCTATAAAAGAATTCTTTCTGAGTATTTATTGGCCGGAAAGAACAGTATTTCCTCTATTTTGTCACACATTTTAATTTAACGAAACAAAATTGGTTCTAAATTAAAAGTAAATGAGATGCTTGAAGAAATTCTCATAATTACTACTGCACTACCACTCCAGCTTTTCCCATTTTCCGATATTGCTGATTTTTTAGCGACTGACTTTTTAATTTAGCGCATAATAATTTCAGTTTTTATATCGTAAAGAAGAAAGATTGCCGTAGTAGATCTCTCGTCATTTTTCTCGCATTCAGCAATTGCCTAATAAATAAATTAACAAATATAATTTTAAACAAATGGTTTACTGTCGAATATGCGAGCACAAACCTTGTCACTGAAAGTTAAATCTATTCAATATTAGGAACCTGCTTGAGTAACCTTTGAATACAGCTAAATTAAAAATAGCGCATGTAAGCTCATTTGGATGAGAGCAAAAAAAAGAAACAGCCTAATAAATTTGATGGTGATAAATCGCATTCCAGTAAGTTTCACTTAATTTAACTGTAAATTCATCAATTCGCGATAACGATAGCAATTTTAGTAAAACGGCCATTACACTTTTTATATTTATTACACTTACACTTTTACTACACTTTTAACATATTTACTACACTTTTAAAAATATTTCATTCTTTTTATGGATGTAAAAGCATTTCGAAAATTTTCATTTTTATAATTTTTATAATTTCATTTTTATAATTTATAATAATTGTATAATAATATTTATAATTTTCTATATTGCATTATTTATAAAAGTTTCTATAATAATTCTATAGAAAATTAAAAAATCGAAATTGGCTGAAAATCGAAATATATAATTGACGACAAACATATTGTAAATGCGATTAGTGTTCACCATGTCCGCTAACTTTTAACACGATTTTACCGAGGAACTACTTGGCGAAAGGTAGTGACCAGCACCACACGGACTTTCGGCTCACAAAATGATAATCTGAGCCATTGCGCAGTCGGCTATCCTGTCTCTAGTTGGGAAGGAGTTTGTGTTTCAAAAAAAATATATTACGGAGTCATAAAATGTTAATTGAAATATTATATTAACGATTATCCACCAACAATAAGGAAATTTAGAGTGAAAAATATGTGGAAAAGGATAAAATATGTCGGAACAGGAGATGAAAAGTGTTTTGTCGATAATTCGATGGACACACACACACTGCTTGTTGCCACTTACTTTCCTAAATGTATTTGTGGATAAATGCATTGGTTGTGTGGAGTCCAAAAAGAAAAATAAAATCAATTCGTTATAGCGATACTGGCCAAACGTAATCAGCCACAATTTAAAAATATTTATTTCAAGAATTTGCCTTTTTTAAAGAAGAAGAAAAAAACGAGGAAATAGTTTAGGAATAATTTTAGGATTATCGGAAGATTATAAAATTAAATTAAATAATACTTTAAATAATACTACTTCCCTCGATTTGAATTTAAATCTAATTGCAAATAGGACTTTTGAAAAAAAAGTGTAATTAGTATTTAGCGATGTAAATTTATAGATGGTTGATAGTGGATAAGAATTTGATGGATGCTTCAATTAATTAAACGGCAATGAATTCCAATTTAATTGTGGATTTGATAAAAATTTTCTTTGTTTTGATCATTTCGCATTGTTACCATTATTACCATTTATTACATTGTCATTCAGCAGGATAATGTGATAAATAATATCTAAGAACAATGTTGAAGAATAGACTAATGGAATTATAAGGCCTATAAGCTTAAAAATTCCTTTGGAGATGAGCATCTGTTATTAAAAAATAATTTATTAAGTTATTAAGTTATAAGTTAATAAAATGATATGAAGTTAATAAAATAAAATAATAATAAATATTTTTCATTAATTAAATTTTATCAATAATAAGACGATTTTAGAGAATCGTCTGTAGAATGCAAATAGTTCTATTTTCATATTTAAGCTAGAAAAGAAGATTAATAGAACAAATTATAGGATGCAACTACTGAAATATGACATTTTTCCAAAGGACCAAATCTTCGATTAGAAATAGCATAAGGAAAATAAAAGAGGAAAATGGAGTTTCATAATTAAGAAAAAATATGGATAAAAGTACTTAATTTGTTGGAAAAAAAAATCTAAGCTTAATTTTATTCATTTTATTCATTGCAACAAAATATAATTTCCATTCTTTCAATAACTAATGAATTGTATTTATTTCATTTCCTTTCGTCTAAGGAAAATTACTAAAATATAGCTAAAATAGCGCAATATTCTTTGCAACAGTTTTTTTGCTCAACTTTTCGTAGAATCCAGGAATACCGAGTGGATAGTCAAATTATCGTGTTATGATGCAAGGATTAGTTTTTCTTTTCGATGAATTTGTCACTAAAACTCAAGTAATGCTCGCGACCTACCTAGGTTTTGTACCAGATGACTGCGTGGAAAAATTACTAAGAGCTCAGCAGAACAAAGCTAATTTATCCAGAAATGTTGGCCAACCACTTACTTACTTTATCCGAATATTTTACGACTTACGACAGTTTTAAAAAACTGTAGGTTCTAAAAAATTATAAAAGCAAACCAGGGTATTCAAAAATGTGATCCTTTCTCCTTGAGAGCTAAGAAAATTTTTGCGTCATACCAATTGTCATGAAACTCGAGAAATTATTCTAGGATGAATTTAATCTATGAATTGAAAAAAACACACGGGCATACAATTAAACTAAAGATACATTTAATATTAAAGCGAAGATGGATGTATTCACGAGAGATTTTATCCGCAGGACGAATATAGTCGTCTTGGGTTATCTTCCATTCTCATAGGCTATTTTCACAGCCATATGCATACTACGGCCAAATAATGAGAATTTTTATTTTGAGGTTCATTTCACAGTAGCTTTGTGAAGATCGTCAAATGAAAAAAAGCACTTCTAATTGCAGCTATCCGAATCGAAGTTTCATCTTTTCCTTAGCCAATGAGAGTCCAA